GGAGGTACGAGGTTGGGAACACTTTTCCTGGAAGGCTCTGAAATGCGTGGTAGGAGCCAGAGCAGGAGAGAGATTGTGGAGGGCACGAAAGGAGCAGGGGGCGGTCGGCAGAGGAAGTTGTGGAATATGGGATTGGGAAGTTTGGGAGAAGAAGAAGGGGTCTGGGAGGTAAAGAGGGAATTTGCCCATGACAGAGAAGAAGACTGACTTGCAGATTGGGAAGATAAATGATAAATATATTTTTTTCTGACAAGTTTTACCACAAGGGTGTTCAGAAGGGCAGAGAGGAGCGAAGGCCAATGGGATAACTGAAAAGGAGAAAGGAGCAGGAAGAGGTTGTCGGGCAACAAAGGAGAAAATGTATTATGTAAGTGGTCAAAGGCAGGGTTTTAGAAGGTGAAGAGAATGATGAGATAAGGGGTTTGGGGAAGCCATAATTTTACATGGCTTGGGAGGAAATGCATGTGAAACTGAGATGGTGGGTATGGAGGAGAAGTTTGGCTGCCTTATCGTGCAGGTTAGAAAATGAGCTATTGAGGAAGGGATTTCAATTTATAAGGGATTTTAATTAAGGGAAATAGGCATGAGTGAAAGCATTGGAAAAGTAGGAAATAAGGGAAGCACTGCAGGAATTGTTGGACAAGGAAGGACTCGGAGATCAAAAGAACAAGACACAGCTTGAAAGAGCTAGCAAATCCAAGCAGAACACACAGAAGTATTTGGTTGAAAGGAGTGGGAGTATTGGTTGTATATGGAATAGAAATTACAGTGTCCATAAACTTTTTCTGTAAGAATTGTGCAGTGTATCTTGCCATTTTCTGGCAAATCATCCCATCCCACATGGGTGGTGGAGAGTTGGATTCCAGCTCTCCAAACTGAACTCACCTTTACAACCCATGTAGCCAAGTGGATCCAGGAGTAGCAGTAGAAGCAGACTTCATGTCATCCTAGTCCTTGGAAAACTGAATTGAGTTTTAACTTTTAGCCAACCCAATTTGAGGCACATACGGATATGTAGATTCATTGCTTCTAATGTTTGCTGATGGCAGGGGAAGGTCGTGCTGCTGGACTGAACTGCTGATGGCAGTTCATGAATGGCTACTGTCCCTCAAATGGAAAAAGACTGAGATACGAGATGGGATACACACTGTGATTAATGAAACTAGAGTAGGGATTACTGGTTTTACACTGAAGTGTCTCATTGAAGTATTTACTGCAGAAATGAGAGGAGGAAATGCTGAACATCAAATTCATCTCTTCATCCAGATTATCATTTATGTGTGGAATAACCTTGACTTCCTGCAACTTTTTTGGCATGATCTACAAACTTTAAACTGTTTCTCTTTTTCAGTCACAGTCTCATTCTGATCTCTTCCAACCCCTTGTATCTCAGCTATTCCGGGACAGCTGTAGTGAACTTGTGTCTGGCACAAGACTTGTGTTCTATGAGTGATTTATAATAATCAATGTATTGTAGGCACAGATGAACCAGGGTAGAGATTGGATAAAAAAAAAAAGAAAGGCTAGCCTGCTTTAGTGTAGGACTATGTAATCCATATCTTTCCCTTTGGTTTTCTCTCTTCATTATTTCTCCTGCCCTCTATTGTGCAGAATCTTCCTTCTTGTGGCTCATCAATCCTATCGCTGTACCAATTTCTAAAAATAATTTTAAATATTTTGTATGTATAGATATTTTTACAGAAGTTGTTAACAGAGATCTAGAGGATGATACTTTAGTAGCCATCTCTTGCATAAAAATGGTGTGCCAGTCTGGACTTCCATTTGCTGTTGTAGTATTGGTGAAAATAATAATGGTTAATAATAAATGTTTAACTGGTTGTTCATAGGAGTTGGAAGGTCCCTGGGAGTTACCTGTGGAGCTGCTGCTCAGGACTGGTGAAAATTCTGTACATATGAAAGAAGGAGAGATCAGCATTTTCAAGTTATTTCTGAGATTTGTTGTCCCTGTTTTTTTGGTGGTCACTATGAAGCAACCAAGATCCGTAGCTAATTGTGAAATCTTTCGTGAAAGGCCCCACCCAGAGGTGCTGTTTGCTGCCAGTTTGCATTGTATGTAACAAATCCCTTCTGCTCCCTTGAACTGCTATGTGTCTGAATTTGAGGTAATGTACTGCAAATTATTTTCTTGGACACACTAGCGAGTTAAATCAAAATCAGTGGAAATTCAGTCATTTTCTTAAAGAAAAAAAATAAGAAAATACCCGCTTTATATCATAAAAAAAAGTTGCTAGTGATCAAACTAAATCTTTCTTGCAGAAAAAATTATACAGAACAAGAATGACATGCTGGTAAGTGAAACTAGTTTAAGAACATTCAACTGGCTAGAACATTGTAAGTTTTGCATATGTATATTTACTGTATATTTTCAGGTAAATATACCTTCATAAACTGTAGTTTATCATTAAATACAAGCATATTTTTCTGCGAGAAGCAAGTAATAACTTCATTTGCTCTGGCTTATTTCAAAAACTACGTACCTGCTAACATACCATAATATACATGGATTTCTACATCCAAAATATGATTTCAAAAATCATTGGTGCAAGTAAAATATTCACAATATGTTTTAATCACTGGGACAGCAGTGGAATTTGATATGTTGATCACCTAGACTTTAACTTGTGCATAAGAATCTGTCTGTTCCATAGAAAATAAAATATCATATTGATAACAACTATAAAATCCCTGAAGAAAACTCATTTATTTTGAGTGACTCTGTATTCACTTGTTTTCGAAGACAGATTGCTTGTACAATGGAATAAGCAATGAGTGAGATACGAATGTAAAGACATTTGGTTTTGTAATGAACTGGCTAACGTGTTGATCAGTTAGATTTTGTAGCATCTATACCATCATGTAAACAGTTGAGTTCACCTTCTCCTTCCTTACCTGTCCCCATCCCCCATCCACTGGCCCTGTTGCTTATGTCTTTTTTTGGATTCCTACTCAGCCGTAACAGAAACTGAATGACTTTGCCAATAAAGAAACTCAAGGTCAGAGTTGGGAATAGCTCATACTGACAGCCTGGATGCACCTGTACTCAGCTGGCTCATAGCAGCTTATTAATCGTTCTCCAGAGATACAGCCTTTGGGCTATTGCATGACTTTTCCCTGTGCCATCATGCACCATGCTACCATTAAGCTGCCAGCATAGCCCTACCCTTAGTGCCCAACTTCAAAAGTATGTATACTGGACTGTGAAATAGCCATGTTGTTTCTGGGAAATCTCTCTGGCTCATGCTACATATCCAGTTTGAGCACATAAAAACAAACAAACAAACAAAAAAAAAGGGGGTTCTTAATGTTTTGAGGGATTAGGCCTGAGTGATCAGCTTCCCTCTGAGAAAAAATCTTAGGTAGTTTTATGAGGCCATTTCCCTGGGCACCATCCAAACTGTGTAAGTTCAGGGTCCGAAAAATTCAAGGTGGTCTACCTCAGGACTTAGAGGATGCAACAACTGTTCTGAGGCTATGTATCATCACCTGCTTCTTCTGTGAAGACCTATGTAAAATATAAAGCAGGTACCTTCTAGCAAGCCCTTGACAGCATATTATTCCCTCCAAGAAAGACAGAGCTTTATCTGAGCTCCACGATTAGGTATCAGTAATAGCTTCCCTCTTGAAATTAGAGGATAGGATGACAAGGTTTCTTCACATTCAGACCCAGTATCCATGAAAAGGACCCAGCCTAGGTATGAGCTCCAGAGTGCTGAAGCCCTTGGGGAACCTTTAGAGGTACACTGACTTCTGTTATAACCCAGTAGCAATGAATATATTACTGTGGAGGCTACCTTTAATCCACTGGTACTAAGAAGGCACAAAGATGTGTAGGCTCTGGCACGGGAACTCTTTTGTAATTAGACACTAGTTGGTTTCTGGATCTGACAGAGGACGTAGGAGCTGTGGTGAAACGTTTCTCCACAGCTTGCTTGGTTACTTGAACATTTTTAATTAATCTCCATTTGTACGCTTGGAGACACATAATCGTAGTTTTGTTCCCATATTTATCTGTAGAGTCTTTATTTTCTGTCCCTCGCTTCGCTGTTGTACTTAGATTATAAGTTCTTAAGGACAAAGGCTACCCTTTTGCTCTTTGTACAGCATCTAGCACAAAGTGATTCTGGTTTGTGTCTAGGACTCACAGTAACTGTGGTAATAAAATGATAATACTGATATTATTAGTGACAATGATAGCAGTATTTATACTACTAGAAAATTATATGGAAAGCTAGAAGATACACAACTCATTCAAAGTTCTGTGACAAAAAAAAAAGTTTTTGCTCATACTAGCAACTTGTTGCAC